CCCCGCCGCTGGGCTGAGCCGCATTCCTCCGCCGGGCTCGTTCGCCGCGCACCCTCGGAGAAGGCGGGCAGCCCTATTGGCCACTGCACAGCAACAGCCGCCTCTCCGCAGCAGAGCAGGCTGGCAGCTCCCCGCTGCTGGGGCAGGGGGGCTGGCAGCTCCCTGCTGCTGGAGCAGGGGAGAGATGTTACCATTGTTCCAGGGAATTAGATTGTGGCTTGGTTTTGGCAGGCATCCTCCCAATGAAAAGGACCGAACTTCTGTTCTTGGAAGCATGCCCCCGTGCAAACTATTTCAAGTTGGCCGGGAGGATGCTTAGAGCTAGGTAGAAAATGCTCAGGTCTATTTTAAAGGGAGAGGTGAGAGCTTGCTCACAGGTTTGGGAAAGGCCCCACATTGGCACACACTGTGTATCCCAGGTGCCTGCAAATGATTCCTGCCCCAGGAACCAGTTCTATTTATTGTATTTCTCAGATGTATGCAGAGAAGTATAAAACTGCTTACTTGCTAGGGTAAAAAAGAGCATCGAAACTCTTCAGTGAACACAGACTGCACTGAATTTATGCTTTGTTGAAATTTAGGTTTACCGAAACTTTTAGAAATGAACTCTAATTTTGTTTAAATTCTAGTGAAACTTGCTTTAAAAGGGGGCGGGGGGGGGGGAGCTGCCTTCTGCACTGGAAGTGAAACTCCTACTTTCTTTCATTGGCCAAGCTGTGAGAAATGAAGAAGTGAAACAAATTCCATTGTAAATGCCACAAATTTGAATAATTTAAGAGAGAATTAGTAAATTGCCGTAGATAAGGATTTAAACAAGTTTTTTACCTTTACAGTTTTCCTTTCCTCAGTTAGTCTGGGGGAAGCTGAGTAGACATGTAGACTCCACTATTGCTCCTTTTCCAGTGCAGTTGATAAGCAGAATCTGGCTACCTTTTAAAACTGCTGTAATTTGATATATGCAAGCAAAAAAACCCTCTAAACCCCATACTATACAAACCCTTGTGCACATGTTTAAAATTTACACAAGGAAAAGGTCCCATTAAAGCCTGGATTCATCTGGGTTACTCAGCCTTTTTCGCCTGTCACTTTTGTTTTCTACACAATAAACTTTCGTTAGCATACATCTGATTTACAAGCCTTTGTTGTCACAGTAAATAGTATGAGAAAACTGTTTTTGTGATTGGACCACAATCTGACAGTCAGAAAATCTAGGTATTCCAGTGCTGCAAGAGGCTTCCTTTGTGATCTTAGGCAAAGCACTTTAACTTTTCTCTGGATCAACTTCCCCATCTGTAAAATGGGGTTTAGACTACTTATCTGCCACACAGAGCTTAACAAGCTGGTACATATAAAATGCCTTGAGAGCTTTGTACAACCTTTGAGTGCCATTATGCTTGGTTGAACAAATCATCCATAAAAAGGCACATTTTAAAGGTGATAGGCAAAAGACTGTTTTTTGGTAAGAAATTGGTGCTGTGCCCCATAATGAATCATAAGGAAGTGAAAATGGTCCTGAAATATTTTTATAGCATTCCTGTTTAAGCACAAACATATCACTCACATTTTTAAGCACGGAACTATCAAAAGTATAAAATCTCATCTTCTCCTCTTTTACTGGAAGACCAGTTAGAGGTACAGGCTATTTGCTGGGTACTGAGTGAAACATCTTTGAAACCAGTGGGCATGATAGTTGTTCTTTGTTCAGGATATATGTAAAGCAAAATTAAGCTCCCTTACTGAATACATCACTGAAACAAATAGGAACCACCAACAAAACACATACCACATGCAATCTTGGTGTTGCAATTATGCCAGTGGCTGACCTGGTATCTAAGTGCAAAACTTGGTCTGGGTATTGTTTAATGAACTACACATTAAAAAAGGAGCAGACAGTAGGAGCATACAGAAAGATGGCAAAAAAGGCCTAGAGAAGTGTTTGTAACATGATCCTAGAAAAATGGTAATTAAGAGATCTTTGGAGGTACAGTGCTTGCTGGAAAGAGGCTTGGAATCATGAGCCAAGAAAATTTTCTACCATTTGAACAGGACTTTATTGTCATTATTTGTAAATAAATAATTGCATCAATGAAGTCATTACTAATTCCTCTTCTTACTAGAAATAAAATGCAAGACTGAATTCTGACTAAACACTCAAAGTGGCAAAAGCATGTTTATGGTCAGTTCAATATATCTTAACTGAAAGATGAAAGGCACAGTAGTCAGTATCTATGTGTCTCGCGAGACAATAGAATTAAACCGAGTGAGACATCAGCTCGCTGAACATACTCCTGTCTCGAAAATAAAGTAAAGCTAAGTGACTGTGCCAGTATGTTTGGAGCCAGCTTGGCTACACTGGTGAAAACATATAGTGTTCACATCTTAATCAGAATTGTGTTACATTGTTTGTAACCAAGGTAAAAAAAAAACACACAAAAAAACCACACAACAATTTAAAAGTGGCTTTCCCCCATTAGAATTCAATGAGTGCATCTACACATTGCTGTATGGCTACGTTGCTATGGCACCGTGCTTTAGTACTTCCTTTTGGATGTACCAAGCATGGCGCAGTAACTGTCTGTACTGTGCTGTGCGCACAGCGCATGCTTAGATTTCACTGCTGTATTGCTGTAACAGGGGAGTGCGCCACAGCGCTGATGTAGCTGCCGATCAGACCCACATTGCTGTAGCACGTCGCTACATTGCCATAGGACGACATGTAGACACACCCAATGTTACATTTATGTAACTCCTCCCACCCTTTACCAAGTCAATGCTTATGTATACATGTACTGTCAGGACACAGCCCATCCTATAGTAAAAGTAAATGGTAGATTTGGACTTTATTGCAGTACTTTGTACTGATCTGCAGCTCTCACTGCATAGTCAGTTTAATGGTTTAAAAAAAATACATCTCAGTGTAGCAGGACACATCCAAATAGCTTTTGAGCTTGGGGAAGGAAAGAAGTAAGGAAGGAACTGAGAGACAAAGTTCTCTGTTGTCTTTGAGGCAATACTCAAAATGCACTGAAATACTCTGTTTATAGGGAAAGTACAAGCTATAAGAAGTCTACAGAGGATACTCGGCAACTTCCCTGGAAGACAGCACTTTCCTCATAAGTACGTCTACACTATGGGGTGTGCTGGACTGTATCTGAGCTAACTCTAAATTAGCTTTAACCGGTCTCTAAAATAAACTAGTGAAAGTGGAGCTGCAAAAAGGGAATGGATTTTCCCCTCCTAATGTGAGTGAAAGTTGAGCTTAGCAGAATGAATTAGGAATGCAGAGAAAGGCACTGTGGGGAACATCAAGTGGATGGCTAATTGGCTCATGCTCAGTATGGGTCCCATCCCCCACAAGCCCCACAGAGAAAAGGAAAGCAAGAAACATTGGGACAAATCTGTAATTCCTATTCACACCTAGGAGTTGCAAATGAGGCAAGGCTCTTGTGGTGCAAGTGATCCCTACCTTCAGAGTATAGTATAGCACATCAGCTGGGTCCCAGGACAGCTTCCATGAGCAGAAGCAGTGGTGACTTGTAGCAGCTGCTCCCCAGCATAAATCCCTTTTATGTGGGTTTGCCAAAGGGAGCCATCATTTGCCCTCTGTAAAATTCAGAGTCCTTGACAGCATGCCCAAATGCCAACTTTATCATGCTCCCACTCAGCAGCAGAATCTCTTCCTGAATGCCTGTCTGTACATATATGGCATTGCCCAAACAATTACTTTTTTGTAGTGCTCACAGAAGTTTATGCAAGATAGATCCCTACATTACAATACCAGAGATTATTATGCTTAACTTATTGTCTGAACACTTAAAGAAGAATAAAAGATTGCTTAGCAACAATGTATGGGAAAAGATTTGAGAAAATGCCTAGGTTTTATTCCTGGATCTCTTACTTCACCTCATTTTACTTCCTCTGTTTTCCTAGATCTAAAATAGAGATTAAGTCTATCCTAGGCATTCATAAATAAATCACGCCAGCCACAAATGTGAGAAAGAGTGCTACCAGACTGGCAGGCATTGAATATATAGGAAACACAATGTAAAACTATACATGCTATGGCATTAGCACATTCCATATAAAGTAATTTTGGATTCCTGTATGCAGATTCAACATATTCACATATCTTGCAGGGATAACAATACTTACCTCTCTGTAAAACAGAGCTTCATATGAGAGCTGAGTGCAATGATTATTATTCCTCATGGAAACCACCATTTCTTCCTTATCTGTTTGAACAGAAAAACAAAAGCAACAGGACACACGGCTTGGAAAAAACCTTTGTCTTAAAAGATCTCAATGTCCTCACACACAAAGACATGAAAGAGCAACATTACAGTGTACTGATACATATTGCTCAACATATCTGCATGTTCCCAGCATTTGATTCCAAGAAAGCTTAACACACACATTTGTCTCTAGCTAACTCCTCTTCTGCTTTTTCCCCCAGACTGCAGCATCTTGTGAGAAATACATAATGTACGCTGATAATTCACCATCAGAACAAGCTGTCACTTTAATGATGTATTCATGTGATATATCATCATATCTAGTGAAGCATACTGATGTAATCCAAAGCCAATACTGTCCAGGGAAGCAAAAACAGAGACGAAGATTTAATAACCTGAACAATGTAGGAATCAGTTAATATTCAGCATCTAAGAAAGCAACCTTTGCTATATACAAGAGTATAAGAATATTGACAAGAGCTTCTTGTAATATTTCTGACATCACATCACTAATATTTAAATCAGTGCAACAGAGATTAATTCTTCAGTTGAAAGCAAAAGCAAATATTTTTTTCAATAAAAAAGTGGACCCAAACAAAGTGGTAAGTTTTAGTTGTGTTCTAACCATAAGTGGTTTAAAATGGAGAAAAATGCAGAAGTGTTTAATGTTTTAAACATCATCATTATTGACCACATTACAATTAGTATTA